ATATATATAGTACTATACCTAGAATATTAGACCAAGTATAATAATAGTTGGTCTAGTGGTCGTACACGAGATTGCCGATCATGAGGTCCCGGTTTCGAATCCCGGTTCTGATTACGTTATTGGGTTTTCTGTCAAAAATGCTCAGCAGCAGCCCAGAGTCAGGAAGTTGGCGGTATTTCATCCCAGTGCTTCGAAAAGCTAATAGAGCTGTTGGTCCTGCGCCTGATCTCCTTCCGATGGTTTCCGTCCTATCAGCCTATGAAAGTAAGGATATGGAGAGTGAACTTGTGCGTGCACATACACGCGAGCACTGTATTCCTGGCCTGCATAGATATGTTGATGAAGATGGTAGATGCACGAGTGTAAAAGCTTGATTGTGAATGACAAACAAAAATATTAATAAAACCCGCGTAAAAGAACATATAGCTGACACGAAGCACCGACGCTCCGGGAAGTCTGCAGTCTGTGAACATGTTCAAGATCATCCCCGCCATTACGTTACATTTATCACACCATGAATCTTCAAAAAAGAACACTGACCGACGACCGAACAAAGTTATTGAAACTAAAAAAAAAATATAATATATATAATTATATAATATAATATAAATATATTAATAGAGAAGATGGATGTGATCCTTTATTTTCCTAATCTAGATTATTATAATATTATCTAGATTCTCTATATTAACAAAATTAAATCCAAGTCCAAGCATACCACTCTAAGGCTTCATGATGCTGTAAGCTCGCTTTAGCATAGATCTGATAAAAAAAATTATATTCAAAAACTGAAGGTAGACGGGCTAACTATGACATTGGGACGTCAAACACCTCAGTCCTCCCCGTGACCATGGGTGTTGTAAAGCGCTCGAAATGTCGGGAATTTTAAAAGTTAAAATTAAACGCGACGAAATCCGTAATATTTGTTAAATTTAAACGACATGTTGTAAAAAATATATTTATGTAATGAAAATACGCGTCAGTTAATATTAATTACGAACAAAGCACAATGAACGTTGACTCGTTATATGGCCGTAAGAGATTGCTCTTGAGTCCAAAGCCTCGTGGCATGCCTCAGATGTCGAAGAACGAACGGCAAACAGCGAAGCACGTGTTTGGAGTAGTGGTGGCGGGAAAAGTGCATGCAATTGATAGAGGGTGGGAGGTGCTCTTCAGAATATATAAGACACATACATTTATTTTATTACAATAAAATGTTAGCTAATTAACTTTTAACATTGTTAAATGGAGTAGCATCTAGTTATGGTGCGTAGGGTGTGACGTATGGGTCGATTACCAAGCGTGACCATAACGGTTAACGTTGCAACTTTGGCAACGATCTCTACGGAACTGGTTATACACCGTGCAGTTGTATGTACCAAGCCTTATTGTAACGGCCCATTATACATGGATTCAGATAATAATTACTTAAGCTTATAATGTTGAAGTTTATAGTCCGATAGCACTGTACTCGGTACCACTGCTCGATCCAGTCAACCCAAACGTCGCAGGCAATGACACTACACCCACTCACAATGGGACAAACACTGATAGGATTACGAATGGGGTGTGTCGCACCCGTAGACGGGCACGACGCGTTCCAACACACACCGCGTACACACCGTACGCCTGCGTTCCTGGGCGGTTCTTACCGCCCAGACCATCGACCGACACGAGCTGAGCAGTCCGAGGCGGAGGTCCGCACTCCCCCCTTCGGACTGCGGTTAGATATCTCAATAACGCCTAACAAGGCGACATGATCCTCAACAACAAAATATCTCGAAAATAGACTCGGTACCAGGCACTAGCGGGCAGCGGGCAGCGGGCAGATATATCAATCGCAGGACTAAAAGCTTTACGTGCTCTCCGAGACTTGAAAGACGCCAACTTCTTGACTCCGAGTTACGATTAAAAATATTGTGACAGTAAAAGTTGACTTTAAGCTGGAACCAGTGTTCGAATCTGCAACCTCATGATTGGCAGTCTTGTTAACGACACGAGACTATCGAGGCACAAATTATACATTTAAAATAATTGATGTAAAAGAAATGATTATAAATGTATATATGTAAGAAAGCACGAACACAAAATTATTTTCCGTGAGTGATGCGATGTCAAAAATATACTTCGGCTTAGCGTGTGTTATAGATTATCTCAAACCGGAACAGTCGGTGCATCGTTGCATGATCTGTATCTATAAATAAATAAAATTGAAGTGTCTGTGTGTACAGAAATAGCCGGCATCCTTTTAACCAAGCCGTGTACTTGCGTGCTTTTAAGACTTTAGTAACCATTTTTGAGTCATCAGTCTGCAAAACATTGGTCTAGCCTTTTTCTATGGTTTTTCTGCTCTTATTATTTTTTTTATAAAAAACGCTGCCTCCACACTAGGATTTTCTCCTTTACCGTGAGATCAGTCTACGTACATAAATTTCACAAGGACCAGCATCCAGACCTGGAACAATTATTTGTAAACCATACAAACACTTGTTCCGTGCGGGATTCGTACCCGTCCCTCAGCGCTGCTCACTGCTAAGCCGCTGCGCCACGGAGCCGTTGTCTTTCGTCGTCGCTCTCAGTCGTTCGTTTGGATCTCGGCTCTCAGTCAACCAGTACGAGCTGGACTGTGTAAGTGTGGTGTTTAGGGAATAAGCTAGCATCATACTGTACCATATTAGTACAAGCGTTAAGAGTATACGGAATTACGGAAAGGATACAAGACCCCATGGTGTCTGATATTTTTCAAGACACAAATTAAATCGATAGCGCATTAAATAGCTGCTTATTGCTGCTGTGTTTTTTTATGGTGAGTGCGAAGAACCGAAGACCTTTTTTCCTGCCATTCCATCTGAGTCAACAACGCCTTGCTGACAATGCATCTGCATTTTTATTCTTACTGTTCCGTTACAGTTTATTAACGTCCACTGCCGAACACTGGCTCCCTCCACAGATTTCCTCATTGGGATATTTGCCATAGTTGCCACTCTTGGCAAGCGGGCTAACAACCGCAATTATAAAATTGTTATTACATCCAGATTTGTTTCTCTCTGTTGCCTCTTGTGACACTCGCGCGATAGTTTGTGCTAGTGGATCATTTGACACCGCCACCAAACAATCAATTTCAATTCTTTATCATCCAACGCTGCATTTTGATTCTTAGTCGAGGATGTCTATGAACGACAGCATCCTCGCACTTGGGCTGTGTGCGTTTATTACCTTGTTTAAAAAAATCGACTGCTCGCGGTAACGCGTAACTAAGCGTCAGACCGCCGGTGTGCTACGGTCGCGGGTAATCCGCGGAGCAAATGTTTGTACGAACTACAAAATATTTTTTTATAGTATAGGACGACAAATGAGCACACAGTCCACCTGGTGGTACGTGAATACTATGGCTCATAGACATCTACATCTATCCTCCATTAAAAATCAAAATGCAGATGCGTTGTCACCCCTGAGCACTAAGATGGAATGCCTCGTTTCCAGTAAAAAGGGTCTCCGAATCTCCACACCCACGATAAGAAGCACAGCAGTATTGATCTACTATTTTACGCTGGTATTCTGTGAGAGCGTGGTCCTTCCCCGGTCGAGCCGATGCATTCGTACTACAGTTATAATATAGCTGTAGCGTGGCTCTACCACGTAATCAATTCATGGGTAAATGGTAACTTTTTTAAAGAAAGATAAATATATTCTAAGTGAGAAATATATAGGCTGGTGATGAGCAGTGGCGTCAAGTGCAAGTATCCTGGTGCTGCGAATGTCACTCTCCTGTCTATGTAGCAGTTAACATACATCTTTCCAAGAAAGAGAGAGTTTATGGCTCGCAGTGATGTTTTACTGTGTGGTAAGAAGTAATCTCTCGATATAATTCATCATCATCATCATTATCAGTGCAGCCTATCTAAAGTCCATTGCTAAACGCACGCCTCCCCCACAGGTGGGCACGCTCGGCGGGCGGGGCGGCGGCCGCAGTTGGTTATCACCTTGAGTTGTTGTCAGCATGATGGTGCTGGCCGTCACCTCACGAGCGCCGCGGGACGACACGCGGCAGGAGCTGTTCTTACACCGTCAGCACCCACACAAAATAAGTTTAAGCTCGTGGGATCTAACGCGTGTTGCAACCAACTAAATCTCAGCTTCTCTTCTAGCACGTACTAAATACTATTACTTTAAAGGCTTGTAATCGGATAAAAGGTATAAGAACGTATATCTAACAAACACACAAACATATTTTTGTCAGAAATCTTCTTAGCCCGCACACAACAACACATCAAAGTTTCTAGTTGTCATTACAGCTCTTCACAAGTCCACTGCTAACATGGCCTCCCCCAAGGAATGCCACAAAGCACGGTCCTTAGTCACCTGCATCCATCGACTTCCTGCATGTCTTACCAGGTCGTCACTCCATCTAGTGCAAGGGAGATCTTCGCTTACCAGTACGAAGTTGCCACTCAAGAACCTCTCTTCCCCATCAGTTGTCACACTAATCCGATGGGCTATCTCTGTTATTCTGATTCTACTGGTTGTTTACATGGGGGAGGCCTATATATAGCAGTGGGCTTTCAATAGGCTGCAACGGTAACGGTGACGTACTGCTTCAATTTTCAGCTGGCGGCACAACAATGAAGTAAAAAAGGAAATGGCGGCTTAATGTTTCAAATAAAACCATAAGTTTCAATACTTCGTCTAGTTCTGTAACTTCAGAATTATCTGTATAAAGTAATAAAAATTTTAAATATCATAATTGACTCGCTATAAATTTTAGGTTTTGTTATTCATCGTTTCAACAAGAAACAAGCGCAGAAAGTAGAACCGAGTCAAGCGAGTTCACAGCTTACGCAAGCGCGTCCAATAAAGCGGTAACATTGCAAAATAAAGAATTACAATATTAGACAGCGAATAGATTCCAGTGCGTGCGATAATTGTACCGGTTCATTTTGACACTTCAATTGGGGGTTACCGATGAATAAAACTGGATTAACAGTTACTAATACAGCCGTATGCTGATCGTGCCGCCCGCGCAGTTTTTATCAAGCAACCTCAATTCGAATGCCTTGAAATGGGATGATGAACTCGAAGCTCATCATTCTTCGGTCCCAGTATGGAGGCAAGTTAGTTTTATTGCAACGCTTTTAACTTATGCCAATAAAAGTGACGGTTAAACTTGTAAGTGAGAAACAACTGAATGTATTGTTTAATGTTGGCACAAAATTATTAATGCTAGTTTGCGTTAGACTTGAGTTATTATCCGTAAATTAATTTTAAAAAATCAAATAAATGTTTTCCATAACTCTTATAATGAGAAGCGTCTTTAAGGCCTTTTCACATGACAGGGACATGGCGAAGTTACAACGATGCGACGTGACGCTGCCCCGAGCAAACACTTTTACATTTAGACTTTTCAAATTATCACCGCATCAGTGATCATAAGATGCGTTTATTTGTTATCAAAATGAACTTCACATTTTTTCACTTAAAATGCATTTATTCCTATTTTTATACAGACGCTTTAAAATATATACCAAAGCTGGTCCTAACGATTTCCCAAATGCTATGAATGCCATTAACGCAGACCTTGATCGAATACTTCAATGGAGTAAAGTGTGTGCTCTTCACGTTTTGTCCGAAAACAGGAAGAACAACAGACGCAGAATATATTATCGTCCGCAGCCCGCGAACGGTAGGTACCTACTCAAATCCCACCTTAAATGTTTACCACAAATGAAAAATAGTGTTTGATAGTACTGTTATCCCTTTTTGTGATACTGTAAAGAGTTGAGGATTATAGATATACACCTGCATGACAAGTCTCTTATCTTTCCAATTTCTGTTTAGGCAGACGTCAGCTATCTTGATCTAATCCAGGTCCAACCTGGAATAAAACGAATTTTACGGATTTGTATTAATTTAAACTTTTGCACACATGGTCTATAATGGATGTTTGGGTGGATTTACGTTGTACATAATATATGTTCTTCTTTATTTTTATGTCTGATCACACCGACTTACCACTTTCATTCTTCTTGAAATCCTGACCTGCCATTGGTTATCGGAAAGCGATTGCTGTCAGCAATAAGACTGCCCATTGCAAATATGTATTGTTTATATATTATGTGCATGTTTTATATAGTGTGCAATAACGAAATAAAATTCATTTCGAAGGTTCATATAACCTATGTTTACATCATCTTCGTATTGCATATCTATATACTATATTATGCACGCTCATCTTTCTTGATTCGTCTTCATATGACGGTTGACGGCACAAATCGCATGATTGGTCGCACGTAGCTTAGCGAAATAAAATTATTAACATACATCATTTTGTGCAAATTGTCATTATTCGAGTAATAAAGCCCATGTTCTGTGATATCAGTTATCAAATAGTAAGAAAAATGCTTATTCTAGCCCATACCCCACACACAACTACGGTAGCCGGATTGGAACCGTGTTGTACTGTATAAGCACGGATGAGATTACAGACAACTCACAGACAGGATTATTCCACTTAGACGGTCACGGCACGTCACCGAGCCGTATCTATATCCATGTGAAAAGGGCTTAAGGCTTTGACGGTTGCGTTTCTAGCAAGCAGAGCGCATTTCACCGATATCAGTGTGAGGTTTTGGCGGTCGAGGCCAGCTGCGGGGCGGGAGGCAGTGCGCAGCCTCCGTGGCGCATCTCACCGCCGTCTGCTTGGCTCAGTCGCGCTCGGACCGTGCCGGCGTTCGCACGTCACCTCGCGTTTACGCCGCTCTTTACCCGCTCGTCCACCGCAGCCTCAACACGTCGCCGCCGCCACCGAGCACCCTCGAACCGCAGCCCGGCATGCGCTCTTGACGACTAGCTAAGCCTCCAGCTACCCTTGCCACGCGCTCGCAGCGCAAGTGAGTGCTTCTTACATGATCTAGACTGCTAGCCGGTATTATCGAGCAGTGGTTCCGCACGCTACCAAGTACTCTTCACTTATTCTGCGGTAACCAGAGATTGTGTCGTCGCCCTGCTTTAAAAGGTACACTGATTATGAGTTCACTCCTCGTGTCGAAATCAAACGCAGATGACATGGATCCGCAGCGAGTGCGCGGACATCAGGCAGAAGTTGTGAATGAAAGCGCTATGTAAGGATAGGGATTAGTTATGGGAATGCGTGCATGAGTTATGCACTGTTAAAGTTTGATCGATCGAATCTCAGTTGTAATGAAGTTGTGTTAAGAGATTTGCAGTCGGTCGACCGGTCGAGCACGAACAGCAAGAGCGGTTGTGACGCCGACAAGTCTGGTTTGATTGACGCTCCATGCGAACTCAGATCCTGTCGTACTGTACTATTAGTGCTAGATGAAACGCCGCATGAAGCTGTATTGAGGGCACTCGTGTTATTTGGAGCCTCGTAACCATGTCTCTTATTTGTAAATTATCTTGATATGTAGACATTTTGAAAATGTCACGGGCAGTCACAATACTTACTACATGAGATTATGCTCATAATACTAAGTAGATAAACTGATAAGATCGAAGGGGATAGTTAAGCGTTGTGTTCATTTTAGTAGTGAGCGCGCTGGGAGTGTGCTATCGGTACTGTTACTGAGCCTATTGTTGATGTGGTAAAAAGGTGATCTTGTAACTACTTAATAAAAATAATGCATTTTTAAATCTATCAGCCTACTTCGTTCCATAGTCATTGTAAATGACACTTATGGGAAATGCTAAAAAAAGAGCTTATGGCTTCCGCTAGCTAGCGGTGAAACCATGATGCTTACGCCGTAAAAATATACCGGCAACGGGAGCAGTTTCAAAATGAGAAATGTCAGGTATTACCAATGCGACGATTATGGCACATACTGCCTGTAACGCGAAGGCCTCACGTCTGGGAGGAAACTTCTGCGGGGCGACGAACATTACTACGTAATAAAGACATAAATGGAATCTCATTTGTGTATCGACTTTGTGGTGTTGCTTGGTTGTAAGGTGCGACCTCAAGCCGCATGTCCTACTACCTACCGCCTGCCTCTATTGGTTACTTTGGGCGATACTTCTCGATAAGACAGCTTAAAAAATATATACAGGTACTGTGGGAGCGGAAACATTCGAGTTGCGATGACTTTTGTGTTTTTAGTTGCATGTTTTTTATAAATTTTAATAATAATACCATAATAAATAGACGAACAAAGGGTGGACTTAATGCGTACAGGCATTCTCTGTCAGTCTACTCGTGTAGTGATGAGATTTTTTGGCAAGCAGAATTACATACACTATGATATACATATAATATACAAAATATATAAATATAGTGTATGTTATAAGCATAACGTGTTATACACATTATACTATATACAACATGTACAAAAACCCTGTATTTCCCGTTAAGTGCGTTATCAGATTGAGTATTCAAGCGTCTCGAAATTCCTTTTTTTTTCTTGATGTTCCTTTACCGTAAATCAGCACTTAAAATTGCAATTAACAATTTCATAGGTGCCGACGGGTATCGAACCCGGTTTGCTCGCGTATTGTGAAATTTACAGCGAGCGCTAACCATCTGAGCTACCATGGATCGTAGATACAAAAAGAAAATACAGATATAAAGACGATGAAAAATTATATCGACGTTATGGTAATGGTATTTTGTATATTTTATTTTATTAAATCTTAATGATTTCTTATATTTATGCGAACACTACACATGATTAAAACTACTTTTACGGATTTTATCGCGTTTATTTTTGCTTTTAATTACTTTTATTTTTAATTCCCGACGTTTCGGGCGCTTTCCAGCACCCATGGTCACGGGGGACTGAGATGACTGACGTCCCGATGTCATTGTTAAACCCGGAGTACCTTCAGCTTTTTAATTATTGTTTATGGTCCGATCTATGCAAAATGAACTGACTATGTTTTGAGGTTTTGCAGTGGTATGCTTGGGTTTAGTTTTAATTTTATTGATTATAGGATCCCAAGCAGGTGGTAGTACCCAGCCTCCTTCTCTATTGAAATTAGGATGTTTTTTAATTTCAATAGCCTCACGTATCATTCTTGGTAGGAATCGGTGTTCTTTCGCGAGGATTTGTGGTCTATCAAATCTGATGTAATGGTTGGGGCCGTCCAGGATATGATCACAAACTGCAGACTTCCCGGAACGTTGATGCTTCACATCAGCTATATGTTCTTTTACGCGGGTTCTAATTGATCTTTTTGTTTGTCCTATATAAGAGAGACCACATTCACAATCAAGCTTGTACACTCCTGCATCTTGTAGAGGAATATGACACTTGACGGATGGTAGGAACTGACTAATCTTCTTCGGCGGCTTTTTAAGATTAGTCAGTTCCCACAGGAGAAGATTAGTAGAATGTTCTATTAGAATGATTGTGAATTGGCTTGATATTAGTCATAGTCATAGTCAGTTCATTTTGCATAGATCGGACCATAAACAATAATTAAAAAGCTGAAGGTACTCCGGGTTTAACAATGATATCGGGACGTCAGTCATCTCAGTCCCCGTGACCATGGGTGCTGGAAAGCGCCCGAAACGTCGGGAATTAAAAATAAAAGTAATTAAAAGCAAAAATAAACGCGATAAAATCCGTAAAAGTAGTTTTAATTATTAAATCTTGAAAAAATTTAATGATTATTTGCAATTACTATACAAATATTGTTCTAACTTCCCTCATCTTTAATTTATTTTAGCTGACTCAACATTCGGTGCAGTTTTATCGCTAAGTTACGGTTTAACAGGAATGCATATTACGAAACAACGTCTAACTCTTAGCTTCAACTATTACACAAAAATTAAATCAGATGAAAACTTCTCCCTTTTAAATTCAATGTTTTATGGGGGATCAAAATAAGATTTTCTAAGGTTTCATTCGTTATAAAATTTTAATTTGATCTTCAAGTACTTCAAGTACGTTTGTATTAAATGGAAATGCTATGGTTAATTTTTAACACAATTTTATGTATTATTTAATTTCCGGTAACTAACGAAACATAAATAATAATGTTGTGGATCTATGCATATATCATAATAAAAATTTGCAATGTATGTCAGAGGAACGTAACACTTTTATTTAAAACATCCATGGATTTCATAAAATGTATTTTTAGCTTATATGTCAACTTAATCAAGTATCAAGTAAAAATTTTTGTGAAAACTTATTGATCTTGTTTTAAAACTCACTGATACTGTTACTTTTATAAGGTTTAAATTGTTTCTAATACAAACTAATATATTGCATTTATCATCACGTGACACTGCACTGGTCAGAACAATTTAGTAACGGGTTACTACATTATTTAAAAGAATCAACAACAGTCGGCGCCGCGGACTTGCTGGTGCCCCTACTGCAGAAACAGAACACACTGAGCTGTCGTCCAGTAGCCGCGCCGAATTGATCGCTGCATGTTTGCTTTTTACTGCTTACATGCGACTCTCAGCACACTTAGCGTAATCGCTGGTGTAACTTAACATTAGTTTTTTTTACTTGATGAAACCCTTGAATTGTTAATAATCCATTGATTTATAATAACTCAGTGTAATAATCAAACACATCCACTCATACATTGTGTGCCATAATCATAGTAGTATGTGAGGTATCTTTAATAAACAATGAGATCGTTATATTAGTAGGTACTATACATTGCGACAATAAATAAAATTGAATTGAATTACTATTAGGTACCGTTACCGTTCCGACGTATAAGACGACATATCGAAAAAGAACCTTTAAAATAGCTCCGGGCTATCGCTGTACTGATCTTGATTTGAAAAACGTGTTCATAAGGTCTAAAATTGCGTAGCGTCCGCGACGATTAAAACCGCTTAGAAATTGTCAGAATCTTAAAATATTTAAAATAATGTACAAGTAAATTACGAATAATGATGTTATGAATATATTTGAGTTTATAGATTAAGAAATTTCGTTGTAATTTCAAGTATAGTGATTTTTAGACGCGTTTTCACAAATAATTATGATTGAGTCAAAATTATACAATCGTGTTTTTGAACAAGCAAATTCAGATACAGATTTGAATTTACCTATATCAAAATTCCAGTTTCGTTGGTGGTGTCATAGTCCTATACTAAAAGGTGAATTTTTCGCGGTTTCGCCTAGTCCACGGCTAAACATAGGCCTCGCTATAAATTGCTTCATGCAGAGCGTGGCAAATATGGTAAATATCCCTCTATTTACCGTATTTGCCACGCTCTGCAGCGGTTCTCACATCGCCACTACACGGTCATTACGTAATTAATAAGGTTCTGGATTTTTAAACGGTAGACAGTTGTACATTCACTCACTAAAATTGTAAGGATAATATCTTGCCAATCCTTAAATATAATATTAAGATTGATTAAAAATAACGGACACTGAGTCAGTTACAGCGTTAGTTACAATCTGCAAATCGTACGATTAAGTTGTAATTAGAGAACGTCCTGTTAAGTGTAATCGTGCAACGTAATGTAACAAGGCGTGAAATAAACTACGTAGTAATATCGTGCAATAAATAGAAACAATAAGATATTGAGCTATTCAGAGCACAGTAGCGTGCAGTGTTAGAGGATTTTAGTCAGGAATATTACGTACGAAGTCAGCTGTTCGTCCATCCATCCACTACTTGACGACAACATCGCCATGCAGGTAATTCCTGCAGCTTATGGGTTTCAAATGGTTTGAATTCTAATGAAAATAGCATTTGTGCAATGCACAAACTGTTCTTATTTATACCAAAACTGCAATTTTAGTGGTAGTTATTTCATGCTTGAGAAAATATTATATTGATCAAGTCACATAGGATAGATGCTAATTTTTGCATACTCAGTAATTTTAACAATTTAAATAATACGTGCCAAATAAAAAAATATCAAAAAGAGTTTGGAATATATATATATATTCCA